GGGAATCCAATCAATGGGCGCCAGGTGGCCAAGATCCTCAAAGATGGCACACGCCTCTGCCAGGCGTTCCAACATGGCCAGTGCAAGGCCAAAGCCAACTGTGCCAATGGCCAGCACCGTTGTGGGTTGGTCCTGCGCAAAGAGCGCGCCTGTGGCGACCCGGCACGGCGCTGCCGCCTGTCGGGGCGGGAAGAAGTGATGGGGCCCCGAGGGGGAGGATGGGACGGACTCCCCCTTAGGGGACATCGATGCTCCCCGTCCCTTGGTTGCTGACCTGTTCTGTGGGCCCAACCTGCCACTGTCCAAGGCTTTCCTTTGGTGCGGGTGGCGCACCCTGTCAGTCGACTGGATGCTGGACAAGTCTCATGACCTTTCTAATCCACTACGCCAGCAGTCCCTACATGAGCAGCTCTCGGAGGTTGACTTCATATGCGCAGCTTTTGACTGCTCTACCAAGAGTCGAGCCAGGGAAATTCCTCGCCGGTTTGAGGACGGCCGCCCATGTCCAGCACCGTTGCGCTCTGAGGAACATCCAGATGGACTGCCGACTCTGCAGGGTCGTGACCTTCAGCGAGTTCGCACGGACAACCAGGCCTGCGAGTTCATCCTCGAGGAGATTCGTCTGCTCGCCGAGCGTGGCGGCGGGTCAGTCCGTGAGAATCCCTGGCGTAGCCTACATTGGTGGGGGTCCACCGAGCGCGCTATGATGGCCACTGGCCGCTGGAAAGACAAGCGGTATGATGCATGCTGTCTGGGGGGAGCTCGTTGCAAGGCGCAGTGCTTGCGTCACAACATTCATGAGATTGAGCAATGGCCGCCGCTTACCTGCCACCATTCTCATGCGCCACACGAATGGACTCCTTACCTCCAGGATGGCCAGACAATCTACCCATCCAAAGAGGAGGCCGAGTACACAGCTGTCTTGGCCTTTGCTATTGCGGTTGCAGCCTCGTGGTGGGCCGGGCGCGTGGGTCGCGCTAAACTGCATGTGCCACGGCTGCCGCAATTCGAGTGTGTCGGAGCCCGTGAACATTGGCTAGATCTGGATCCCCGGGCACTCAGGGAATGGGCGATGGCGCCGCTTGCCCTGGGCATTGGCTTGTATCCCCCAGATCCCAGTGAGGCCGCCCGAGTCCCTCGTCGAGCTCAGGTAGATGACGTCCTCATCGAGAAGGGCAAGTTGCCGCACGATCATGTCTACGTGGGCCATGGCCGTGGTTCGCATCGTCTTGCCAAAACCAAGTGGGCCTCCCCAGTCATTCCTGGGCTGAACAGTCAGGCTAACGATTGGTTGTGGTACTATGTTGCCTACCTCTACGAGTCCGGGCTGGTGACCCAACTGCAAGAGCTGCAAGGCAAAGTGCTGGTCTGCGACTGTCCTTTCTGCGACCCTTGTGAGGCTGATGTGCTTGCAGGCCTTTGTTTCGAGGCGAGCCATCCACAGGGCCGTCAGTCGATGCATCGCTTCAGTCGGGGGGGGACCCCTACAGCTCGCCAAGTTCTCCTAGCGAGTATGGCCAGCACGGTCCAGGGTATCCCAACGAGTCCGACACGTTGGTGGAGCCAAGAGGCCCTCGTTCTCGCCTTTCGCAAATTATATCCAGCTCACTTCTTCATGAACTTCCAGTTCCCCATGGTTGAGGACATCATCAACGCTGCCCCGTTCAATGCTTTCCCGGTGTGGCTGCACAATAGGCGCTACGAGACTGATGGCCCCCTGGGCCCGCACCTGGCTGATGCCAACGTTCGCCAGACCCTCCGAACTGCCGAGGGCCAGCAAGTGGGCGCATTGAATCAGCGAGCAGCCCTACCCCCCTTGCTGTCTTATGATCTCAGTCCTGATGAACACTTCGCCCAAGCGCTGGCACGGGGTCGCGACTTGCTACCTACCGAGCTACCAGCCGTGCTGGACCTGGACCTGGCTTTTGCAGCCGATTGCCACACTCAGTACCGAGGTCGTCTCCGAGACCTTCGCCGTGCAGCCGTGGGAGCACTTCGAGAACTTCATCGGCGTTGGTGTGCAGTAGGACGCCATCTACGGCAGTTTCAACCTGTCGCCTTGCAGGCGACCACAGCCACCCGTGACCTCGGCTTTGTCGCGCTGTTGATCTTGCTGACGTCATGGCCTGATGTTACATATCCCTTTGGGCTCATCGAAGGCCTGCCGGCAGTCGGTTATGCACCCTGCTACGGCGTCTTTCCATCTCAGCCTGCCGAACGTATTACTCTTACAGAGGTCCTGGCCGGATGCGAAGCACACAACCATCAGATCTTGTCTACCCTCAAGCCGGGTAAGGATGACCTGTTCCTGTTGGAGCAGTCTACAAAGGACGCGGCGCGAGGGTTCTGTACCCCTCCCTTGACGCTGGCACAGTTGCGTCAGCAGCTGCAGGGGCAGCCGTACCGCCTGATCCCACGCTGTGTGATCACACAGTCTTCAGGCAAGCAGCGGGTCATCGACAACGCTGATGCAGGAGGACAAACCTTACGCTCGGCCGATGCCAACAAGTTGGTGCTTTGCTCACCACTACGACCGGCTCAGCACATTAGCCAAGTCCTGCGCCAGATGAGCCCCTCCGAGCGAGCCCAGGCAGCCGCCACCGATACCTGGGAGACAGGTGGAGAAGACTGGCCGGATGCCTATCGCCACAGCCCAATGGGAGCCAACGAAACGCGGGGATGCGTTGTGACGTTTTGGCATCATGAATGGGCTGCTCCGGCTTTTCAAGTCTACGCCGGTCTACTATTTGGTCTTCCACTGGCCGTTACCTCCTTCAATCGGTACAGCCGTCTTGTAGAGGCCCTGGGACGCCGCCTGTGCTATGTCCTGGTTTCGCTTTACTTCGATGATGCATCTATTCAGGACTGGTCTTCGAGCCGGGGTTCGGCTCAATGGGCATTTGGAGCCTTGAATCAGCTTCTGGGCACCCCTTTTGCAGCAGAGAAACGCCAGGCTATGCGCCCCAAGGGGTTGTTTCTAGGCCTTGACCATGACCTTTCGGCCGCACTATCTGGTGGCTTTGTCTCCTTTTGGGCGAGGGAACGCCTGGAAACCAAGTTGAAGGCCATTATCCATGACTGCCGTGCAACTCAAACTCTCAAGCCCGGTGTTGCAGCTAAGCTGTACGGACTGGCCAACTTCTTCGAGCAGGGCGTCTACGGCAGGATAGGATGTGGAGGTCTCCATGCCATTAAGGAGCGTCAGCTCGTCCGAGGTGATCAACTGACTCCAGCTATCGAACAATGCTTTCAAATTCTCGAAGCAGTGCTCTCTATCCATCCGGAGCGTGAACTTGATGTCTGGCCGAGACACCATGAGCGCTTTGTGGCAGCGTCTGACGCTGCATTGGAAACCCCCGGTAAAAGGACAGGTGGTTTTCTCCTCGTCTTCTTCCACGAGGACACCGAGAGCCGGCTTGGATTTGTTTCCTATCTCCCACCGTCCATCTACGTTCTTTGGACCCCAGGAGAGGCTAAGATCGCACAACTAGAACTTTTGCAGGTCCTCATGGCATTGACTACCACACCTGAGCGATTTCGCAATCGCCGCGGCACATGGTACATAGACAACACCGCTGCCTTGATGGCGCTCATCAAGGGAAGGTCAGACAGCCCTGACCTCGAGCACATGAGTCATATGATTCACATTCTATTGTTTTCACTTAGATGTTGGATTTACTTTGAGTGGATCCCCTCCAAATCCAATTGGAGTGACGCCATTTCCCGTGAGGGACATGCGGATCGTTGGCACCACGACCAGGGTTTCACTAGTCGGGAAGCCACATTTTTCGAACCACTCTGGTATTTTCCCTTTTCCGTCACTCTGCGAGTCGGTCTCTTTCTTTGAAGTGCGTTGGGAGAAATGCATTGGGTAGATACATCGCTATGGATACGTCTGGATGGACGAGTCTCCATAGATGGGTATCTAAGCTTCATCCAGGAATGGA